ATAAATAAATAAATAAATAAATAAATAAATACATACATACATACATACATACATACATACATACATACATACATACATACATACATACATACATACATACATACATACATACTAGCTAAAAGGTGCTAATTTCTGTTATTTGCCATCAAACTGCTTGAAACTTACAGGAGCCCTAACAGAGCTTCTAAGGTATGTGAGATGTTCAGTAGCTTAAATCCAGTAGTAAGTTGCAATACAGTAGGCACACTGATTCAGATTTAGTGAGTCAACTCTTCTATATGTTCCACTGCTTCAATGGGCATACTTGAATGGGTTTCAGCCATAGTTATTTACTATAGTTACCATTCAGTGAGTTTCCATATGTGATCAAGGATTTGAACCCAAGAGCATAGAAAAGTGAAGTTGGAAGGGGCCTACAAGGCCATCAAGTCCAACCCCCTGCTCAATGCAGGAATCCAATCAAAGCACATCTGCCAGGTGATTATCTAAGTTTTTTTTCTTGAATGCCTCCTGTGTTGGAGCACTCACCAACTCCCGAGGTTTGGTAACTGGTTCCACTGTTAAAGACATAAAAGAACTGCAGGTTCGATATTTGTGAGTCATTCTCTCACCCCAGAGAGTTTTAGAAACTATAGTTTGGAAGTAGAGCATGCAGAGAGGAGCACTGTATCTACAATGACTAAATTTTTAAAAAAGGAAGAACCTTTTGTAACTTAACAGTTGCATAAAAGGAATTTCAACAGACAATGCAGTGTTTTGGAGAAGGATGTGGGAGACCAGACATGACATTCCCTATTAACTGCATATAACAAGAACTTAGGTACAGTGACATCTTTAAGATTAAATTTAATTTCTTTTAAGATTACATCTGTTAGGCATAGGTACCCTAGTGAGGTAATTACACTGAAAGAGCAACAGACCTAACATGACCCACGGTAATTGTGATTGTGTGTTTCAGCCTGGATAACAAAACCAAAGGAATTGTGACAACTTTAGTACCAAACTTGTTCACCTCAAAGATGCAACAATGCTTTTGTTTTGGTTTTTGTCTGCAAGGTAAACAGACTAACATAACTACATCTCTGTGAAATATATTTCATCAAATGGCTAGGGAGCAATATTGGGCCTGACCCATTTGCAGAGCTAACTTCTTTCACAGGATTACTGTGGGGTTTGAAACAGGGGCATATCACGAATGCTCCCTTGAGCTTCTTGGATGTGATGAGAGGCAGGATATAAATAGAAGGAATTAAATACAGGCTTAAACAGGGGAGTCTGTGAAGTGCACAGTGAAGGACACTTGCTCATCTTTGTGTACATTAAATCTCTTTTAGGCTTCCTTCAGCACCTTAAAAAGAGTTGGACCATTAAATTCTGTCAAAACTGCATGTAGAAGCAGCATAATAATTATATGTCATCAAGTTAGTTCTTACGGTGACCCTTTTCTAGGTAGACAGTACTGTACTCAGAAGTGGTCTACCATTTCCTGTTGAGGAAAGCCCAGGGACTGTACAGCTTGCCCAAGGCTGCACGGGCTGGCTCATCTTCCAGAAGGCACAGTGGGGAATCCAACTCCCAACCTCTGACTCCGCAGCCAGTACTGACTATACAGTACTGCAGTATTGTTTATGCTGTTTCAAACTACAGGGTCTGTCCAGACAGGCAAATATGGACTGGTCTGGTTCACACTTAAAATCATCAGTGCAATCTAGATGTTTATTCTCCTGTGAGAAGGATCCACCCAAATCTTTGGAGCGCCGACTTACTCGCATGTCAACTTCCCCGTTAGAATTTTGAGCAGCATGCAAAGCGCTTTTAAATGTTTCGTTGTTAATAAGGAACTGAAGATTAGCAATAGGCAGGGCAGGAGTTGACAGAACTCTTCTACTTCCGAGATTGTAATTCAGTGCATATTTCGCTATGAGAAAATTTCTTCACTTCCGATTAAACTAGTTTAAAGTCCCACGTGAGACTTGAGCCTAATACAACCCTCTACTATATGCGTTCACCACCAGGTAAGCGTGTACAGCGTGCCATGTCTTGGCCCGGGAGGACGTAGCCGGGCTTACTTCTCCGTCACGATGATATTTACTGAGCCTGCAGACTCCGAACTTGTAACAAGGGTCCGCCCCCTAAATCCCAGGCCTCTCCGAGAGGCCCCGTCGGGCGGGCCATAACAAACCGCCCCTTCCCGCTGCCTTGGCGAGCGCGGCGCTCCCGCCTCCTCCTCCTCCTCCTCCGCCCGCCGGGCTTGTTTCAGCCGCAGAACGACGTCAGAGCGCGTAGCGGCTGGCCGGCTCGCCCTCCTGCCTGCGCGCCTCCCCGCCCGCAACACCCAGCCCGCAACAGTGCTGGAACGTGGCCGGAACTTGGAAGCCTGCCGGGCCGGCTAGCTGGCCGGCCGCCCCCTTCGCCTTCGCCCGAGGTGACTATCCCTCGGAGCGAGCCGAGCTGGAAGGGCAAGCGCCAGGCGAGCCTGCGTCAGCGCGCTGTCCCAGCCTCGCCGCTCACCTGGGCGCTCTCCACGAGGTGGTAGCGACACAGCGTGTGGTCCAGATCGAAGCCAATCACCTCGCAGTCGGCTAGAGAGAAGGTCGTCCGGGCCATGGCGGGAGTGGAGGAGGCGCCGGGTGGCCAGAAGTCGCGGCTCCCCTTCCCTGCCCGACGCACGGGAGCGCCTGCTTGCCTGCGACGATAACTGCGGCCGCCTTCTTTCCTGCAGTGCCGGCTCCTGCCCCGCTCCCTGGCGGCTGTCGGGTGTCCCGCGCGCCTCACGGAGAGCCTGGCGCTTCCACCCGCCTCGCTTCCTTCGCGCGCTTTCCGCCTCCAGAGGTGCCGAGCGCCGGCATCAGGAGCAGAGGGGCTACCCAAGCCTCCCTGTGCCAGGATACCGTGTGCTTCCTTCCCAAAGAAGCCCTGACGTAGTTGGCAGGGGCCACGTGTATAGGCGGAAGTTGGGGCCTCTTTTGAACCCAGGAGCAGCCCCAGAACCGGTAGTGCATGCCAGAGTTCGCTTTTAGAACACACGGCGCGACCTAAAAGGTGCCTCTGGGAATGTGCAGAGATCATCACCTGCCAAACACAGAAAGCCAAACCACTAAGACTTTAGCAACAAGCATTGTGAAGTACCCTTAAAAGGTTTTAAGATATTTATTATGATGGGGGTTGGCAACTGGCTTTTCATACAGTTCCTACTTCCCTTGTAAAACTTGGTTTTGAGTAGCCTTCACCTCTTCAGGTAATGAATTCCATAGGTGGAAAAAAATACTTTTCTTTGCTCTGGATCTTCTGCTGATAATCCTAGGTTGGTGGAAAAGGGAAACAGACCTCTCAACACCCCACTTTCTACATACCCTTTGCAATGTCATTTCTTTCATTCATTTTTATCTGGCCTTTCCCCAAAAAACTTGGACTCAAGAATATCAGTAATCTTTGGAGAAAAAAGGTACAGTAAAAACACAAAATGTATTGATGCTAGATGTTGAAACACAAATATGTTAAAAGAATTGTAAAAGCATATTACCTTAAAACCAACACAGCAGCTGAAACCCTCCCTAACAGGCCACAATGGATTGCCAGAAGAAAAAGATAACTTTGTAAAACCTCTTCTGTGTCCCTTTCATAGGAAAGAGTGGAACAACATGATAGCTCTGCTGCCTCATTTCCCTCCCCAAACTGAAGGACAGCTGTTTTCATCAGGGAACACACTTTACATTTGTAGGCGTCCTGTGATTTGAAATTCTGGTTTTCAAGGATTCTAAATCCCATAAGGAGCCGATGTAGGTACAGGTACTCATACTCCAGATAGCCTTGGAGTACATCGCTCACAATATTAGCCACTGTATTAAACAACATTTCCAAGGAAGAGAATCAATATAATCAGCTAAAATAACAATCTAGATAAAAGCAGTGAAGCAATGAAAGAAATGTTCCAGGAACTTCTTGAATTAAAAAAATAAATCGGACTGTTTCCTGGTATTATAATAATATTTTTTTTATAGCGTGCAGAAAAAGTTTTAAAAACTAATAAGCCAGCCACAAGATTTAGTGTTCCAGCAGATAAGTGCTTTGAATGGGCAGCCTGTAGTCACAAACCATGCTGCTACATACACTTAAAAGTGTATAAAAATAGACGCTGTTAACTGATTTTCCATTGGGAACTAATGTTACAGCCCTGTAGGCAGGCTGCAGCTCAGTCTCCTTAATTTCAGGGAGAGTTTAATTCTACAGCTGTTTATTTTTTACAGAATATTGAGTGCCACTTTAGTAATCTCCACTCTTCTATGAGGGAGGAGGGATATAGGCACTTTTCACTCCCATCACTAATGTATGTGGCCCCTGAATTGCAGACTTCTCTAATGTGTCAAATTGACTTAA